GTTTGCTGCAGCATTCAGGTGTTAAAACAATGTTAAGGAGATAAATTGTTAACAATCTGGGAGCAATTGTTCCTCGGACTTGGGAACAATGCTCTTTAAATCTTGTAGAGCCAAATGTGAGGCCATCTGTTTGACCGATAAAGCTTGGTTCAAACCTGGTCATGCAAAAGTATAATGATCCCAAGCACAGCAACAAACTTACAATAGCTGAAAAGACAAGAATCAAGATGTTGTATTAGCCAAGTCCACACGATTAAAATGCTGTGCAGAGCAACCCTCACTAAAGCAGTAAGAAAGTGGGCCCAAACTCGTCCCCAATAAAAAAGACTGATAGTCTTTGTATGCAGTCACTGCAGTTCATTGTGCTGTTTTTAAAGGTGAACCATTTAGAAACACGCGGTTGAATCTTGATGTATTTTCACTCACTGCTTCTGCATTTTTCTTGTTTTTGCTCACTCACAGTATGTTATTTGTTGCTGCTCATCCAGGCTTGTATTTAAATAATTCTAGAACCAGAACTTCTTTGTGCCCTGATAAATTTTAGAATTGAAAGAGTGTACCTTATTATGACTGTAATTCCAGATTTTATAGACTTTTAGACCAGGAAGCAGAGTACCCAAAATTAAAATACTTAATTTTCATACGAGTACTTCATAAATGCATCAATAATATTGTTACAGTGACCAGTAACACATAGAGTGCTGTCTCTTTATTTTTCTCAAACTACTGAAAATAAAGCCACACAAAAATGTTTTATATTTCAGTCTGTTCCAGGAAATTTAGCCAAGATTTTCTTTATTTCAAAATGAGACAAATCAGCCGACGGCAGACATCTCGTTCAAAGTCACATCTAAAACTTCTGGAACTGCTTCTTGGCTCCAGCGGCCTTTGTCACTTTGAGGACGTTAAATCTCACTGTCTTGCTGAGGGGTCGGCACTCCCCGACAGTCACAATGTCTCCAACTGTGACGTCTCTGCGGAAGACAAAACAAACAAAGAAAAAAAAAAACAGTGCAAAGGGGAATTTAAGATGGGTATGCATGTCCAAAAATAAGTTGACAGAAAATGTTGTCATACTGAAGCAAAGCTGCATCAGTTTTTGCCAAAGGCAGTGTCGTCAGAGCTTCCTGAGCTTGGAAGACCATCGTGAGAAAAAACATCATATGCAGCAAAATAAGATGCTTTGAAGGAACACAGTTATTAAGTAAAAGGTTATTTAACAAAACATAATATGTGAGGTGCTGTACCTAAAGCAAGGTGACAGATGGACCGAGAGGTTCTTGTGCCTCTTCTCAAAGCGGTTGTACTTGCGGATGTAATGCAGGTAGTCACGTCTGATGACAATGGTCCTCTGCATCTTCATTTTGGTCACCACACCTTCAGACAGACAATGGACAGCATTTTGTGTTATACCACTTTCTATAGTCATAAAATGGCACTGGATAGATTTAGAAAACTCCTCTTAGTACTTTTGTCACTAGACTACATCAGTGTTGCCATTAGGCATTGTCGTCAGAACCCAAAGGGCTTGGAAGACCATCGTGAGATAAGCATCATTTGCAGGACAGTGACAAAAAAGGAAGACATGAGGTTTCTAGTAAATTACACTGTTCTGGCTTCATTTAAAATAAAGTTAAGTTTAGGACATCTGTAAAAACACTTGTCTGTGCTACAAGACATTCAACTGACCAGAGAGAATACGGCCACGGATGGAAACATTTCCAGTGAAGGGGCATTTCTTGTCAATGTAGGTGCCTTCAATAGCCTGGAGAAAAACAAACATGTTACAGTATATGAATGAGCGATAAGACTATCAAATCTAACATGAAATCATAATCACAAGTTTGCATCAGTGTTGCCAAAAGGCATTGTCGTCAGAACCTTGCAGGCTTGGAAGACCATCGTGAGAAAAACATCATCTGCAGCTTACAACCAAATACTTGTTAAATGTATTTAAACGTTTGAAAAATGCCTTGAATTGATTCATTTACCTCTCTTGGTGTTTTGAAGCCCAGCCCAACACTCTTGTGGTAGCGAGGAAGCTTTTCCTTGGTCTCCTTGCCACCATCTGTGATCAGAACACGCTTTTTGTTCTGGAAGATGGTAGGCTGCTTCTGATAGGATCTCTCGGTCTGGTCAGAAATACAGATCAGCGAGTTAAAGCTTTGAAATAGAAATCACATCAGCTTCACCCCGCATTTCTCTCACACGCCGCCGCTCGTTAGTCGACTTGAGACTTACTTCCTTTCACTAAAAACTATGCTCACTTTTGGTTAATATGACATGCAGCCTAACAAGTTACAGAAGACGTGCCTAAACGCTAAGACTTAACACGCACAACATGCAAAGAGTGGAAGCCGTATCAATAGGGAATGGTAAGTAATAGCACGCTAAGCTAACCAAGCTACCATTCCGGCTACTTGGGCGCTGCACGAGGGAGTACAGAGGAGCAAAAAATGTTGACTATAAGCGCGTAAATGTAGTTTGAAGTGACTCAGGAACAAATATAAGAACACTATAATGGTATATACTTAATTCTAGATGAGTAAAAGGTTTATTAAAGTGTAAATATGTCGATTTAAAGTCACCACGCCGTTTTGCCGAACATACTTGTGCATCCGCCATCTTTGCCAGCCGAGTCGTAAAGAGGCCTGTGTATGCGCGCGACGGACGGAAGACACCGAGGTACGGGAAATGACGTTCATTTAGGCGAGGCTAAAAAAAGATATAACAGACTTTTTTTTGGACTAAAATTACAGGGTTATTGTACCACTTTACGTGCGGTAGGGGACATTATAGTTTTTCCTTATTTCTGTTGCCTATAGTTCTATTTGTACATTTGTAAATTAAACTAGAGGGTGAAAAAGTGAGGGTGGCAAGTGCCGCCCACTGGTACGAACAAATAACTGTTATCACGTGATTGCACGGGGACCAGAAACGACCCAAACAGAAAACAAGATGGCATCACACCCAGGAGGAGGCGATCAAGGTAGTAGCAGCTATCGTCAACAAATAAAAAACATATATTTCGACTCTGACAGTGTCGGTGGGAGTCCGATAGACACAGATAATGTGGCACTTTAACAGTTAACATTTAGTTTGCCGCTTTATTGCTTGCTAAGTGTATCGTTAACATGGATAGAGCTTAGCTTAGCAAAAGTAGCTAAACGTTAGCTTTGCGTTAGCACTGCGTTGTGTAGATGTTCGCATTACAAAGAGTAAGCAAACGCGTTTGACCAAAAGCGAAACGTACACATTTGGAAACGGCATCCTTTTGACATTAAAAAAATGGCAAATTTCCTCAGTTACGACAGTGTTTAACGCGAATTAACTTAAATTAATACTATCAACTAAATAACTAACACCAGATTTGATGTATTGCCTTTGTATATATTACGGACAAACAGGTGTCTATAGTTGAGTTGAACAGGAGATATAAATAATTTACAAAAACAATAGTTTTAAAAACGTGTTTAAACTAATTGTTACGGAAATAAAATACCTACGATGAAACTGAGAATTGACGTATAATTTTTCTGTCATCTAAAGTGATCTCATAATAATTTGGCGCAATGCTTATTTATCAGCATTTGAGTCATCTAATGAGTGTCTACCTTTGTCTTTCAGGGAATTCCGGAGATCAGATACTGGAAGTCGGAACTTTTTTGTTACAGGAGTGAGTACACACTACACTCTTGGGTAGCAGTTATATGTGGAATATATCATTTTTGTGAAGGAAATCAACTTGATATAAGGGGTTAGGTGTAAGGAGTTTGAGTGTCTTTGTTGACTTGTTTCAGAAGGAAGAGCTGGTCACCTACCAATTGCAAGGCTGTTTGTTTGATCTTCTAGGTTGCATGTCAACATAAATAGTGAATCTCATGTTGACCTTGACACATCCGTCAGAGTGCTAGTGTCCTAATGCTGGGTTAAAAGTGCTTTGGCACAGAGAAAATATGTATCATATGTGAACAAGGCTTGTTGTAAGAAAACACATTCAACGCTCAAAGAGTAGTAAAGTGCTATATATAAGTAACAGTCCATTTTGAAAGTGCTAATGTGCCAAGGTTCAATGATGATAACCAGCTTAGGTAACCAGGTCATCTTAACCCCTTCACTTTGGTTTCTTGCTGTTGAACTAGAGAAAGTGTAAGATGGCTTACTGTTGTGTATTTGTGCTGTATAGTTTCATCTATGAGCGAGTTCAGAGGCAAAGAGATGGCAATAGTGCAGTGACGAGAGAACAGCTTGGTGGAAGCCAGCTGACTGACCCAAAACATAAGAAGCTTGCTCAGTGCCTGCAGCAGATTGGAGACGATCTGGATGGAAATGTAGAGCTCCAAAGGTTGGTAACTTGTCTGTGTGCCTCTTCAGGCAACTTTAAAGGCGTGGAGTATTATGATATGCAAGTTTGTTCAACTATAACTGTAATCACTAAATTATTTGCTTACCAATCTTCAATCTTTTTCCCTAGAATGATAAATGACTCTTCGCTTTGTCCCACAAGAGAGGTTTTTATGAGAGTGGCCTATGAGATCTTTTCAGATGGAATATTTAACTGGGGCAGGGTGGTTGCACTGTTCTACTTTGCATGCCGACTCGTTATCAAAGTACGTGAAACTGCTATGTTTGGTATTTTAAAATTAATAAATAACAAAAGTAAGGCATGTATTATTGAATTAAAAAAAATCTAAAGATTTTCTCTTTACACCTTTACAGGCTCTTGTAACTCAGATTCCTGATATTATCAGAACCATTATCAGTTGGACCATAGACTATCTCCGGGAACATGTGATCAACTGGATCAGGGAGCAAGGTGGCTGGGTAAGGAGCAAACTAATAAACCTAATTTATTAGCAATAATCAATGTGTCCATATTAAATTTCCTGTCTTCGGCATTTTTAGGAGGGTATTCGCTCCTACTTTGGC